CCCCCCCCCCTCTCTCTCTCTCTCCCTCCCCCCTCCCCCTCCTCCTCACCACCTCTCTTTTTCCTCTCTCTTCTGTGCCCCCCCACAGCCCCCCCCAAACCTCCCCATGCTGTTTCGGTGCTGCTGCCTGTCTCTTAGCAACAACTGCACACCCGTTAGAGCTCAGTGAGTGCTTTTTACAAACACACCCAGGAAAACACACTCTCACATGTGCACACTCCTGTTCACACACACAATCAGTGGCACGTACGCGTGCACAAGCTCACACACACACACGCACTGGGTCTAGTTCCTCATTGAGGGTTTCTGCTGGCAGGCCTGTGAGTCTGCAAGCCTTTGTGGCAGTGAGATAGATGAGGAGAGAATAGATATGCTGTACAACTACCATCGACAGAGTCATTGCGCCTCCCAGACTGCGTAACAGGGCAATTGCCCAAACTCGAAACTGGCAGCCTCTTGTCTCTGCACAAACACACTAACTGCACAGGCATTCTGTGGCTTGTTGTGTTGTTGTCGCTGGCTTCCCCGCATTTGCACAATAACACCAAAAACTTTTTTGAAGAAAGTGGAGGAAATAAAAAAAAAGAGAAAAACCGTACCAGATCAAAAGTGTTCAAACACTTCTCGTACAAGAAGCTCGTCTTTGTGCGGCAGATTCAACAGATCATGATGTGGGAGCAGCGCATACCATCGTCTGTTTTCACTGAGACAATACTACGCCGCTGTGTGTTCCAAAGCCCCAGAGCCATCCACGGGAAAATGCACCAAAACACATTCGCTACGTATGATTATATTGGAATGGCGGCTGAAGGATGCCAGGAGTGCTTTGCCTAAACAATGAATCATAGCAGAATTGATTGGCTCGCATCTAAACCCTGTCAAAATGCCCCCTGCAGAGCACAGAAGAGGGGCATTTGCATGTGTGTCTTTGTTTTTGCGTGCGGGGAGCACATGCGTGCGTGTGTGTGCGTGTTGTGTCTGTCTTTATGTGTAAATCGATGTGTGGGAGGACGAAGCTGCAGGGGCATATTTGCATGTGTGTGTTGGTATGTGTCGGGGAGTGACAGCGTGTATGTGTGAGCACATGTGATGCGGCGCTTAATTAAAGCATGTGCTCCTCTCCTTCCCTCACAAACTGGTCAGATGAAGCCACGATTAATGAGCGCCGTTAATTAGACCGGAGAGAAAGTGAGAACGGCAGAGAAAGTCAGGGAGGTGGCAGCGGGAAGGGAAGAGAAGGGAAGGGAGTGGGTGATGGGGTTAAAGAAGTACGAGCAGTGTGTGCATGTGTGTGTGTGTTCATCTCCATGTTTGTCTGTCCCAGTTGTGTCATTCCTCAGAGCAGCAGAGGTTGTTTCGCTTCATGCGTGCAGCCCAGCACTCAGCTCCGGCAAAACTCCCCCTCTCCTCTTCCTCGACTGCCTCATCCTCTTCCTCCTGCTCCTCCACAACTTTTTTCCCCTCTTAATTTCCCCGTCTGCCTGTCCAGTCACGATTCTTTCCCTCCTGTTTCAGTCACATCTTTCACTTTCCTGTCTCTTCTGCAGCCCTGTCGCCTTTTCATACATTCCCACCCTTTCATTCTCTCACTTTCTTTGCCTCCTGCTCAATGTCCTCCCTCCCTCCCTCCATAATCAGAGCCATATGTTGGAAGGGAAAGGCAGAGAGATCTGACAATGGACATAATTGTGTTGAATGTGGAGTGTGTGCGCTACAGAGTTAAGAGAGCCAGCAGCGTGCATGCATATCTGCTCACAAATGTTGCAAGCCTTCCTGTGTTTGTGCCTGACGAGCATGCGTGGCGGCCAGCACATGTGGTCCAAGTCTCGTTCTTCTGTTTCTTCCATCCTGGGTCTGCACTTCTCCTCCTCTCTGAGGTTCTGCTATCCCTCCATCACTCCTGTCTTTGTGTCACCTTCATCTCTACATCCTCTCAACACCTCGACTTTCACCGCCTCTCTGCTTCCCCCTGGTGGCAGATGTTGTTTACACATTTTCGTTCTTGTTGCATCCCAACAGGAATCTGCAGAGTTTCAGGCAAGAAAACATGACACTGGCTGTACATGTGCATGTGTTCTCCCTACGTTAGCCACGGTTCATTGTTTCAATTGTCCAGTGAAATTTGTATGTGCAAAATGTTCCCAGTTGCTTACATAATGGAGCGGCGTGACGCTATGATCGGCATAACATGCACGCAGTTCTTAAATATGTTCCCAAAATTTGCTAAAAGATCAGAAATTTTAGCCACAAGTCAACTTAAACAATTTATACTGCAAGTCATCCTCTAACATAATTGTGTCTGATGCGAGACGGTGCAGCCCTCTCTCAAATACTGATTCCAGTCTGGCCCAATTCGCGCTGTGACATCATGTACTAATCACTTATTCTCTTTCTCTTTGTGCTCCTCCCTTCTCCACGTGCCTTCCCCTCCACCTTCTCCAACTACTCTGTCCCTTTTCTCCTTTTGTCTGTCTCCGTCTTCTTTTTCTTTCACTCTAGCAACCATGGGCAGAAGACAGAGCCAGGGAGAAGAGAGAGAAAAGTCTGTGAGCTCTCCACTGCAGTATTGATGACCCAATGATCCCCTGCAGAACAGAGCCAGTCAGGCAGACCGAGTCAGGCTCGCCTCAGAATCAAAAATCAGCGCCACGGCCGTTTGGTCGGAGCAACCGACTGAGTGGGGTATGAATGGTAAATGTAATCTAATTTTACAATGCCGGCGTGTGGGTGGCACAGTTAATAAAAGAGGGTGCATTACAGAGTAGGATTTTGGCACGTTGCCAAATTCGTTGACAGTCTGGTCCGTAAAAGTTTAGCAGCAGTAAGAAGAAAGAACGTCTTTCCCAGTTTCTGAAATTCAACTCGAGGGTGTTGACACATTTTAACCGTCCTGGTTTTTTTTATTTTTATTTCCATCTTTAGGTGTAAAAATCTTCTGCCCCTACAAGCTGTTGAAAGTTTCATACAGAGACAGCTGAAACCACCTCTCCACATCCTGCGCCACTACCTGCAGCACTGTCCACTGGATGAGTGGCTCGTCGGATCCTCAGCATTCAGGCCAAACTGGCACTCCGGCAGGTCGTGGGGAGACTCGGCCAGAGCAGAAGGGTTTTGTGGTTAGACTGGAGAAACTGGGAAGACCTGAGTCCTGGACAGGGGAGCTCACACTCCATGGCGCGTTCCAAGATCCATTTCATGATGGACTGGCACTTGTGACCTCCGACATTGCCCCCACCCCCCCGTCCACCCTGGCAACTGGTGCTCGCCTGCAGGAAAGGCTGGGGCACGGCACCTACCTGCAGAGGCACCCTGACACCTGCATGACAGCCGAGGCGGACACGTTTTCAGCGACTCTCAGAAACATGCAAACACACGTAGACCCGGAAGTGCACGCAGAAGCTTTCTCCAACCCGCACATGGACAACTGTGGAATCATGGAAATCAGCAATCACAGTGATTCTATAGACTCAGAACTCTCTAAAACTCTCACAGTAGAGGCCATGAACACAACTTCACCTCAGACTTTGCCTTTGGCGATTGGCAATCATCCTGCAACTACCAATCCGCTGGAGGCCCCGGCAGCCCGGACTGCGGAGTTCGACACGCCCTCAAACTACGGTCCAGTCCCCTCTGGTCCTAACCCAATAACGGTGCCTTCTTCTCTACCCATAGAGACAGAGAAGAAGTATGCACTCCGCAGCTCTGGGCGTCCTCGCTTCCCCTTGCACCTGCGTAAATCCTCTCGGCTGCATCGGAGCATCGAGGATGTGGGGAAAGGGTCAGGCAGGGACAGGGGAAGAGAAGAGGAGGAAACATTAGAGGAGAAGATCTGGATGGTTAAAGAGGACGAAATCACTGCAGATGCTAAAGAAGAGCGTTCTTCTGTGGAGGCTGTTCTACCTGCACCTACTTGCCATACAGATATGCCTCTTACTCCGAGTGAACCTAAGCCTGCTCCCAAACCTCTACTTAAGCCTGGGCCCAGACTTGGGCACAGACCTGGACCTAAATCCAGGTGTAAGCCTCCGCTGAAATATGTGCACAAAGCAGCTCCTAAGAGTATTTTAAAGCAGCGTCTGGCAGCGCAGGCCCTCCGCCAGAGTGCTGCCTCTCATCTCACATTTGAATCTGCTCCACCTGCTCCTTTGTTGACTATGAAGGAAGAACCTGGTGCAGGCTTGGGGGTCTGTCCTCCAAGTAACAGCAAAAAGGGCCGTTATGTTGGTGTAAGTGTGTTAACAGTAACAAATAAAGTGCCTTGCAAAAGTGCTCCCAACAAAATGAACCTTTTCGCAGCTTGATTTGCTGCAACCACAAACGACGGTGTATTTCAAATTGATACATTGAGACATGTTTTTCTTTTTTACAAAGAGCTCAAAACTTGGTATTCAGCCTTCTTAGACAGTTCTTTGTAGAATCACATAGTGTCACGTCTTCTGCAGCTCCCAGCAGGTTTCCTTCCAGGCTACCCCCTATTTAGCTTCACCTGTCTTCAAGTCTGACTTCTTGCCTCTGCTGAAAAAAGAAAGCATCCCCAGAGTATGAGGTTGCCTCCACCATGTTTCACTGTGGTTCTGGTGTGTTCAGGGTGTTGTGCAGTGTTAGTATTTTTGCTACATGCAGGGTTTCGAGTGAAGGCCAAAAAATTCAGTATCACTCTTTAAGAAAAGGACAAACTGCCTTTTGTTTGCTGCGTCCCCTAAGACTTATGGCAAACTACAAGCAAGGCATCTTATGTCTTTCTCTCAGCAATCGCTTTCTTCTTGCCTCTTTTCCATTTAGGCCAGATTTGTAAAATGTACAACTCAACATTTCTTCCACCTCAGGTGTGGATCCCTTTAGCTCCTCCGGACTTAGCATGAAACATTTGGCTTCATCTCTGATTAGTGCTCATTTGGTCAGCTCTGTCAGTTTTAGGTAGAAAGCCATGTCTTGGTAAATTTGCAGCCGTTTTACACGCTTTTGGGTTTTGAATGATTGAAATAACCTTTGCAAGTTATTCAAAGCTGTGGATGTTGTTCTTAAGCGTCTCCGTAACTGCGAGTTTGTCTGTTCACATCATGTCAACGTAACATATTTGTAGTTTAAGCTAGATTTAATGTGAGAAAAGTTCAAAGAGTTTGAATGCTTTTGCAAAGCGCTGCCAACATATCACTCTACTATAATTTGTTCTTCATTCAATCTTAAACTACATATAAATTAATGCTTTGTTTTGTATTTCCCCATTACTCAACAGGTAAGGAAGATTGTTGTAAAGGTGCCTCGCATTCCTGTCAGCTTAAGTCGCCGACAGAAGAGCTATAAAATTTCCAGTTTGGAAACAGTTACGGGGACTGAGAAGACTAATGACGGCAGTCTGGAGGGGTCTGAGGCGACACGAGAGCCAACCGCACTCCTCCGCATGAAGAACAATGGGAAAAGTGTGATGGTGATGTTTCCTCCTGGAGAACTCCCTGTGATTCTCAAACGCAGGCGGGGGCGACCCCCTAAACAGGCTTTACCGGGAATACAGGTCGAAGTACCCAGTGCTGGGACTACTGCGATTACTGGAGACCAGCCCAAGAAGCCCAGGAGGCGGCGTCGGACTAAACTCCCCTGTCCATTTCCCTCCTATGTTAATGACACAAATGACGTGAAAGCTGAATATGGGGATGTTCTCTCCAAATTGGCATTTTTAAACCGCCAGCCCCCTGCCACTGGTCGCTGCTCCCCTCCTCGTTGCTGGACACCAAGTGAGCCAGAAAGCTTTCACACCCCCTTGGAAAACCCTGGAATATCCACCCTGCTCCACAGGCTCACCGGGTCTAGGCGACCCAGGGGTGGCAGAGGAGGGGGGCTCGGCAGAGGTGGAGGAGCAGGAGGGGGCGTCATGGGCAGCGAGTGCAATAAGAGCACATTCAGTGACTTCTTTGAATCAATTGGGAAAAAGCGAAAACTGAACCTCCTGTCTCAGCATGGATTACCGAGGAAAAGACGGAAGGGTGTGGGAGGAGGAGTGGGTAGGGGCGGGGGCATGGTGGGAACAGAGCCTGGGGGCGAGAAAATTGTCAGAAGGAGACGAATGAGAAAAAACGGCGCATTTAAAGGGGGAGTGGTGCCCATGGGGCAGGACTGGCCCAATGGGACAGGTGGATGGGACGAGGAGGGGGCTTTGGATAAGGATAGAGCTTTGGGTGGGTATCAACTCTGTGGATCTCCAAGGGGGGGCTTCTCCAGTTGTAATGTTGGACGAGGAGGGGCCTACAGTGGTCCAGCTGGAAGCAAAGGGGGTGGGCTAGCAGGAGAGGACTCACAAGGACTATTTGCTGGGTATTTTCGATCCCTCCTCGATTCTGATGACTCCTCCGACCTCCTGGACATCTCCTCCCAGTCGGACCCCCGGAAATCTTCATCCTCTGCCTATGATCCATCCAGCTCTGCGGCCTCTCACAGCTGGTCTCCTCCATTCCCCAAGTGGAGCACTAAAGGAGCAAATGCAGGGGTGGAAGGCTCAGCACAGGCACACTGCTCCTCTGCAAGACCCCCTTATAGTTATGGAAGCTTAGCCCAAGTATCTCCCACCACCTCTACGTATCCTAAATCCACTCCGCCATCTCTTTCGCACTCTCCCAGCTCCCCCCACCCAGCCTCTTATGGTCACTACCCTTCTGGTTACTCCTGCTCTCCTCCCGTAGGGCCACAGAGGTCCTCTGACTGCAGCTTTGGTTATGGTGGCAAAGGGACACCTGCCAATCAGATGGGTTATTTGAACTACCAGGGAGCAACCAAGAGAGGCTACAGTGGGTATCCAGCAGTAAGCCATTCCCCCATGGGGAGAGGGGAGTCAGCAGGACCCACATCACCTGGAGGAGGGTACATGTCTGTGGCCAAAGGGAGCCCTTTCAGCTCCTCTGCCACAGAGGGCTACAAACAGTACAACTCCAACCAGTGGAGCTGCAGGTAACATGATTGAACTTTTTGATGACAAGGTTCCAGTGTGCTCTAGAGTATTTACCTATTCCTCCTTAAAAGGGGTGTTTCATTCCTTTAAATTTTGGAACTTATATGTAACTGTTTCTGATTGGTGTAACTGTAACATCAACTTGTGAAATCTAAAATATAGTCGAATGTCAAGTGTATAATTTGCTTGTATGATTTCTTTCCTCAGGCAAGCTTTTGGTGGTTGGTCAGCAGACAACTTTGGGTCTCAGTATCATGGCTATAGTGAATATGGCTCCAATGAGTCCAAAGACATCTTGGATATCTCAAACTACACCCCGCAGAAGGCTAAGCGACAACCGTTTCCTGAGAGCCTGTCAGAATCCTCCTCGGACTCTTCACACGTCGGCTCAACAGCGCCTGTTATCGGACCCAGCTCCACTGGAGGCAGCTATAGGCAGAACGAGGCTGCCTCTGTGAGTGCAGGCCAATCCAGTCTGTCCAGTCTGGAGAAACTAATGATGGACTGGCATGAGAGTGCTTCAGGACCGTCATACAACTGGAGCCAGGATGTCCTTTTCCAAGGTGGGGGGACGAGCAAACCTGGGCGCGGTCGCAGAAAACGGACTGAACTGCATTTAGAAAAGGAAGGAGGTTCTGCCTTACATTCGGATTCACCATCTAGTCCGTCCCCGACACCCGCTCCTGGACCTAAGCGGGGAGGGGCTGGAGGACGGGGAAGAGGCTCGAGAGGAGGTAGAGGAGGACTATCTTCATGTCAGAGAGAGCGACCGACTGGCTCCAAAGGCAGAGGCAAGATGGCCTCTGTGTCAGGAGCGGGACTGATGGTGTCAGCTGGAGGTCCAGAGGGTTCTGGGTTGTTCCAGGAGGGGCTGGATTATTACAGCGGAGACAGTAGCAGTCTTTCTCCACTGGCCACACCTAATCCTGCTCCACCTTCCAGCTACCTCCAGGACACCTGTGAGTACCCCTCCCCTTACTCAGCCCATCCCTCCACTCCATCCTCTGAAGAGCGATATCCAGCCTTATACCCTGGTGAATCCTCCTCTTCCCTCTCACCCAGTGTGTCGTCTCCCCCTTATCCCCCCAAGCCCACCCCTCCTCCGACCCAGCCCTATCACCTTCTCCCATCCAGGACCTTTTCCCCGTCTTGCTCCCCCTCGCCACGTTTGACCCCCCACTGCGGCACAGCGCTCAGCCCGTCGCACCGACCTCCTCCGAAAGACCTCCAGTTCTCCCAGTACGACTCCCCCAGCTACTGCAGCTCTCCTTACTGGTACGGACAGACATCACACAGCGGCAGCCCCAGTCCGCACTCAAACACAACCGTGCACGCCCACAGCAATCCACACGCAAGTCCTCATGGAAATGCACATGCTAACTCCCTCGCTAACCCAACTGTAAACGCGCACACACACATGAGTGACACACAACACCAGAGCCACACGAACCTGAGCTCACACACCAGCACCCATCCGGCCTCGCACCTCCAAAGCAGTCAGCCCCACCTTAACGCTCACCTGCCCACCCTCGCACACCCCAACCCCAGCCCTGGCCTGCACTCCCACTCGACGCCTGGGCTTTATGAGGAGCGCAGCCCTTCCTCTGCCATGGCCCCCCACAAGCGGGATTTGGTCCCTCACAGCATGAGCACAGGCCTTCGCCAGGGTCCCCTCCCTCATTCCCCTTACTCCAAGCCTCCTCTAGACGCCTCACCCCATCAGGAGGACACCAGTGGCTACACCCTGCCCCAGCAATCCTACCAGGGTGTGGGACACCGCTATCCCCCCCAGACCGCTCAGGGTGGAGGGGTGTTGTGCCAGCTCCTGGACCCAGCCAGTGACGACAGCTTCAGTGTCACCAGCCTGTAACAGCAGGTGAGTTTGTTGAACATTCATGTCAGATTTCTGAATATGATATGATTCATTCATTCTTTCTTTTTTAGACAAGCATTTTATTATCCAAGAACACAAACTACTAAAGTGTGTTTATTTGAGTACCTGAGAAACCACGAGAAAATAAAATGGAATTAAATAAATAACAGTTATCATCCTACAGTAATCACATGCGGCACCAGTAACTGTAATTTTACTCAAGGATTAAAGGACCAGATAATATTTTCTGCTGACCTATAGATAACACCTACAGCTGATAACCCAGGTGTCTGAAAGAGCAAACAGTATCAGACAAAGGAACAAATATGGCGGGGTGCAGCCAAAATCCAGACCTTAGTCCCACTGAGAATCTGCAACAAGACTTTAAAATCACTATCTTTACACTTTCTATCCATCCAGTCTGACTGAGCTTAAACGGTTTTGTAAAGAATGAACTAACATTTAATTCTCTTGATGTGAACGGTTTTTAGATTTTTTTTTTTTGTAAAACAATTTTGAAATCATTTTACTTCCAGTTCAAGATTATGCACTACTGCAATAGTAAAAATTACAAACATTTTAACTGGTATTAATACATTCAAATTTAAATAGATGATAAATAACAAGCTTATTTATCATCTATTTAAAAGACCCATGTTTTTGTCATGTCAAAAACTGCATTAGATTAACTGTATGAGGTTTAAGTTAGGAAAACATTACTGTGATCCGCAGTAATGTGTGGGTTTTTTTGTCCTGCTGTACTGTGCTACGAAGAAGTGTTTGGCCACACTAAAGATCGACTGTTTAAAGCTAGAAGCTACGGCGATGGAGGAGCTAGTTTATAGAGGCAAGGCATAAGCACCGACAGAACATTTAGCTGAGGAAGCAATATAGGAACCACATGAGTCGATGTGAGTTGAAACCAAGACACTAATGATAATAGTCGCTACAGACGCTGCCTGGAAAATGACAGTCAGAACAATAACTACAGCTCAAGAGGCAACATCTTAATAATTCATTTTAGGGTGATCAATAACAAAGTTAACATGTTTTTGCATGCCGAGCTTGACTTTAAAAACAGTTGACTCAAAAATTGGTTGACATCTATGCCCAAAGAATATCCATCTGTTGAGGAAACAATTTTTCTAGAAGAATTCAACCTTTTTTTTTTCTTCTTTTTTTTTTTTTACAAAACTGACCAGAAAGCGAAAAATACATTTAAAGCAACATACGTCCTCGTTCCTGGGAAAGTAAATTTGTTCCAGTGTCTGGCCCTTTAATGGCTTTAACCAAGTCAATATGTCCACTTGGAAACAAAACGCCGGTAACCCCAGCCTTAGAAGAATACAGTGTGACTTGCGAGCAGAAGAAGGACCAGATGTGGAGCTACGGTCAGAAAATTCCTTATAAATCAACTAAAGTGACAGCCTTGCCTCTTCCAGCTTCTGTGGGTACTGCTTCCAAAAGTGTTTTTTTCATCATTCAATAAAATATCAGGCCTCATGTATAAAGTGGGGGATTTATGCAATTTGTTACCTTTTGTTTTCCTTCAATTTATACATTATTGCTTCAAAGTTTGGAAATATTGATCATGGTCAATAACGTTACTAATTTAAGGCTTTTAATCAATTATTCAGCCATTGTTTATCCAGAGTGGAACAGTATGCTACATGCAAATACGATACCAAATGAAAAACTTCTTATAGATTATCTGAAATGTCAAAATTAAACATACAACGTCTAATATATGCATGCGCCGCCACCAACATTTGGCTAAACATTTAACAGCATGTTGAGCTTTGACCAGATGCATATTTCATTTATCTGGTTTCCTGGCACAGATCTGGCTTTTAAGTCACAGTTCACACATTTGCAATAGGGTTGAGTTTGTTCTCTTTCGTAAGTCCCCTTAAAAAAGGCTAATGTCGGTCTTGATCTACTCCGAAACAGTTTTGATATGCATTTGGGATTGTTGTCCTGTTCATACAATTAATTGTGTTCAAGCATAAACTAAATGAATAAACCTGCAAACCCATGATGGAAGAAAATTGGTTATAAAGGACAGGATCAACGATGTAGCAAGTAGTAATAATATCAATTTTGCGATATATATTGATATTTTCGTTCCTAGAAAAAAATCGATATTCATCCAAAAGTATCGTAACATCCAACTGTCACCTTGCTCACTCACTGCTTGCTTTGCCCGGAGAGTGATTAGGTCATCAGGCTTAGAGTGATTCCTTCAGATGTTAAGTGTCAAGGTTAAAAAGGTATCAAACTATTCAGAGCAGGGTGCTTGGTGCACTTTATTTACTTCACAAATGCATGTAAGCTACAGTTTGTACTGTTTCAATTAAAAGAAACATGTCTTCTCAACACTTCTTTGATTCATTTTGTCTAGCTGTTGACTTTAAGTCTGTGTCCATGTCCAACTAGAGCCAGGTGTTGTGTAGTTGGTGCTTTTAATCAGTTTTCAGTTAAATTAATTCAATCCAACTCTAAGTCACAAAATGTCACCAAAATCACTCTGTCCCTCTAAAATCTTTCAGAAAAATCGCAAAAGTGTATTGAATTGTATCGTTTGCTGAATATCGCAATATATATCGTATTGTGAGCAGAATATCGTGAATCATATCGTATCGTGAGATTATTGTATCACTACAGCCCTAGTAGCAAGGCCTGCAAGAAATTAGTGACTCACTCGAGCTGGAATGAAATTTGCAGCCGTCCACAGGTAAAAGACAAATGTCTTCTGGAGAAACGTTTCGTGTTCAGACAAGACGAAGGTTGAGTTACTTGGCCACAATGACAAGAAGTAAGTGTAAAGGAATATGTAAAAACTTAAAAAAAAAAACACTGAAGCAGCTGTCTGGCATGGTGGTGAGAGCATCATGCTGCGGGTATGTTTCAGTGCGGAGGCGCATTGTGACTTTGATCTTATTACAGTTCAATGATCCATATATCAAAGCATAGTTTTGAATTAATAAGTCAAAAATGTATCAATTTCAACAATTAGAAAACTGGATTCATGTCAGGAAACAGACAACGTAAAATATTCATTCAGAATTATACCTGGATTTATTGATATCTAACAGTTGCTAAGGAACATTTATCCAAATGTATTGGTTGCTCTTCATTGTGCGAGGTGTAGCGTTTTCTGATATGAGGTGATTGCTTATGGATAAGTTATCATTCCATCTTGCTTGTTTTATCTCTGAAAAAAATAATGAGGTTAGACACGTCTGACGTCCCTGCTCTGTAGTCTATACAGGCTGAAAATACAAGTCTGTGGTGCATAAGGGATCCGCTGTCAGCCCAGATTCAGCCAAATGCGGCAAAGGTGAACGGATATCGATTGTTGTTACAACTCAATAACAACCCAAAATTTAATGTGAAGTAGAAGACTCTGCAGTGGCCGAATCAATTAGCTTACCGCTGCCCAGCTGAGCAGCGTTTAAGTTGTTGACAACAAAACAAAGCTTCACCAAGGTAGATCTGCTAATTCTAGACTGCAGAGAGTCCTGGTTGGAAAGAGATTTTTCTCTTTACCACCAACTTCAGCATCTTTTGTCGGGATTTGAAGTTGGAGACCAAAATATTTTACAAATAGAAAAGTGCGCAGCTCCTCTGAGCCGATACCTTGGAGAACCACCTTTTACTTCAGTTACGCAGCAGTCTTTTTTTTTTTTTCTTTTTTTTTTGGTATGGCTTGACTAGCTTGTTTTTCCATTTTTCTTTACGAAACACCTCAACCTCAGTAAGCCTGAACATAGTGCTTCTACGAACATCAGACGAACACTCTTTGCTCTAATGATTGCATTTTTTGCTCTGGCTGTATGCACTTGGCTCCTGTTAAAGAAATGTGTCCCCGAAGCATGACTCTGCCGCCACCATGCTTCTGTGTGGCCGGGGTGCGCCCAGGGTGATGTGCAGTGATTTCCACCACACATGTCCCTGAATTTTGGTTTCATGTGAGCTTGCTTTGTAACCCGTGTGGCTCATGTAAGGACCTATTAAGTCTCCACATTTGTTTCCTCTTGCCACGCCTCTAATTAGCCCAGGTTCATGGCTCTTAGTTGTCCTGTCTCTCATCTGAGCTGTTAATTTTTGCAGCTCATCCGGAATTACCACAGGCCTCTTGGCTGCTTCTCTGTTTAATGCCCTTCTCACCTTCTTCTCCTTCTTCACAACTTTCTCCCTGAGCTGTCAGGTTTTCATGATGCTGTTTGTTCTCTACTGTTCTCTTCTGCTGCATTTATGCCTAAATTCAGTTAAATTAAATTTAGATCGACTCTATTTACCAACGCACTGTTATTTTATTTTATTTAAGGGGCATCAGCTTGATTTATCTGCATATAAATGGTTGCAGCGTTATTGAAAATCTTCTTTGTGAAAGGAATTCATTTTCTTTCTACTACATTTATCTATTAGATAGTGTTAGTAAAATATAGCTTCTGTCTATAAAGTGTAAAAATAGAAAGATGTTCAATACTTTTGCTAGGCACTTTGTGCTAATCATAATCCTAAATATATTTAAAATTTGCTAAAAAAAATGTCAAGTCTAACAAATATCTTTTATCAAAATGATTTTATAAAAGTTCTACAATGTGATTTCCAATTTCAAAATGTTTGTATCTTTACATTTTTTTTCTCTCCCTCTTTCTGTGTTTCCTCTCAGGTTCGAGTCAAGCTTTTACAGATTTGCAAACATATTTTTTAAAGGGAACTTCTTTGTGAGAGACTGAACTGAAGGGTGAGAATTTAGCTGCCAGCCTTGGACAGTAAAGCTTTAATTCTCCAGCACTGACAATCAAGATCAACCCATGAAACTCAACGCATGCACGTATACGAAAACACACGCACACTCCCGGCAACTCACTCAGACAGACAGACAGACACGCACACGGGCAAATAAGGAAAAAGAAAAACACACACGCACACAGAGAAACGCATGTGCAGATTAGATCACTACCTAACCATGATCATACGTGAGCACTCTGTCCTGGACCGAGAGGGAACGGCCAAGAGGAATCTGACAGACAAAGTCCAGACGGCGGTGGACAGAGATGAAACTATATCCCCATCCCTTTGGGTCCTTCTGTGACACATGCAGTATCTCGCCGAGTCCTTTTCCATTTCTGTTCTGCAGTATAGACAAATTAGGATCACTCTGCTTTCTCTCTCTCTCTCTCTCTCCATTTCGCTCCTTCTGTTCCTGTCTCCAAAACTTCTCCATTTACCGCTAAAGCCAGCTGCAATGTTCTGCACTCAAACCACTCAACTGTCTTGTGCCGCAACCTGAGCCGCATCTGAGCCCAAAAATCGACGTTTTTTTTTTTTTTTAATACCATGAGCCTAGCCAAACGTCCCGCTCTGTGCACTTCTTCTTGATGTTTGTGTCCCATAAGAGAAAAAAGCGGACTAAATAAGTTTCTGCTCTTCAAATACCAGCATCTGTACATACGACTTCAGCTCCAAGACCGCGGGGAAGATGGTGGCAGAGTCGGGGTGTGGTGGGGGGGGGGGTTATCAACTTTCCTCTCTTCTGCGTCTTACCGTGATTTCTCTGCTCTGATAGGGAGGGGAAAAGAGGAGGAAGAGGAGTAGGAGGAGGACTGCAGCTTGGAGACTCAACATCCTGTGTTTTGCTGTTTTAACTACAAGGGAAAGAGACACTGAAATTACACAATGGCCCCAAAGAGACTTGTTTTTTTTTTGTGTGTGTGTGTGTGGACTCCAGACAGAGGATGGATTTGCGTGACTGCAGTGATGCATGTATTTGTGAGTTTGTTTGCTTTTTTTCCTGAATGCATGTGTGTGTGCGCGCGTGTGTATGCGTCTATGTGTGTGTGCCTGTGGGGTCTAAAGGATTGAGGCTCCAGAGATGACAAAATCTTGGTGGGGCCTCATTTCTTTCTTTCTTTCATTCACTCTCTCCCTTCTTTTTTTCGTGGTCTTGTGTTGTTTGGTGGTTTTTGTGCTGCAAAAAAAAAAAAAAAGAAAAGAAAATTGTATATCTGTCTGTTACATATCATGTATGTATCTGAGGTGCAAAATATTTAAATACACATTACGTTCTTGCCATTGGTAAACTTGTCTGTCTCGTGCAGTTTCTTCAGCAGACAAGAGGAGGTGTTCTGCTTGTGATTTGAGAGCCTTTGTAAGCGCCGGGCTTTGCCTGCAACTGTGAGGGAAGGAGTTCAAACAAGGACACGATTCGACGGGGAGTAAAAAAAAAAAAAAAAGAGGGGAGGAGAGGAATGAGTGATGAGGAGAGTAATGCGGGATGTGCTGGTAGCTGGAAAGAAACCAGACTGAGCAAAAAAAAAAAAAAAAAGAAACCCAAGATGCAGAAGAGGGTTTAAATGCAAAGGAAGGAAAGAGAAATGCACAGAGCTTTTACTTTAACATTTCTAATCCTAATCCCAGCTGTAAGTGTTAACGCAGAAACTGTAAAAAAAAAAAAAAAAGGGTCAATCAAAAAGGGGTGGCCATGTTTAGAAGGTAACTCGCTGACGGACAGAAATATTGTAAATCCACAGCTTGTGTGGACGCGTGTGCCAGACGGACGCGCAGAGTGACGGAGAGTGAAAGCAGATGGGGGAAGTTTACGGGCCGCAGATTGTGTACAGTTTGTCAACAGGCTGATTAAATAGACTCAGACGTGGCCGGAGGAAACGTGTTTGCTGTGACATTCCACTGTATGGCAGAGGGGGGGACACGTTCTGTCAACAACGCGACATGACAGACAGAACGGCTGGGGGGGAGGCGAGAAGGGGGCATCTGCTCTTTCTTTCTCACTTTTATGTTCTTCTGTGTTTGCATAAAACATTGACATTTTATCTGCATTTAAATAGCTGGTAAAGTCCCTGCTAACTGTAATCCATCTGTACCCTGAAGCTCTTTGTACAATATTTGGATTCAATATAACATTTTTTACATTTGAGGGCACTTTACTCTCTCTACTTTAATCTCCACTGGTATTCGGTGGTTCAGCTGGTTCATATTCTGTTTTATTCCACAAATTAGAGAAGTTTATTCCAGTAACTCAGTTTACTAAGCGTGAAGATTAATTGCACATAGAGTGATGTTTTTAAGCCATTCTTTCTGTTAATTATTATGATTTTCTGCTGACAGCTAATTAGAACACAACACTAAGATTACATTACACCAGACCAACAAAAAAATATTTTTTATACAGAAATGTGGGCTTGATGCTGCAAAGTAGGTTTAATACCTGATTAAAGGTTATTATTTCAGAACGCACATCCTAACTTGCTGAAACTTTCTAATGCCAATTTCCAGTGAATGTTATCTGAAGGAACTGGAAAACACAAATAGATCTAATTCATATCCAGCTGTAAAGAATCAGTTCGGTGTAAATTCAGACCTGAATACAAGCAGTCATGTGCAGTCACATTCAGGTGATTATTTAAAGATAATCGGTAAACATAAAAAGTTGCCATCTAAGTGAGACATTGACTTTGCAGCGTTCTTTAATCCTGAGCAAGCAAGCGGTCATAGTGGAAATGAAACGATCCTTTTGAACAGGAAGAAACCTCCAGCACAACGAACATCAGTGGGTGCAGCCATCTGCTGCCAAATACGGAAGCACTGAACCAGGGGTACCTTTTATGAGACAGCAAAACAAAGAGAGTACACGGGGCTAATGGCAGCAATTTTAAAGGAACTGACGCTGCGCAAAAAACGTTGACATGAACGAATGCATCACTCTTGACAAATTTCACAACCAATAAACGTTGCAAACGACGGCATTTGCAACAGAATAACAGAAGTTTGTTGAGAAAGGTAAAAAGAAAAAAAAAAAAAGGTGTTCAAAGCTGGCAAGAACCCAGTATTCCTTCAGTCTAACTAGAACAAAAAAACTATTTTAAGTGCTTAATTAAAACCACAATAAACAAGATTCAACAGGTGAGACGGTGGGCGAAAAAGAAGCAGTTGAATGTATATTTGGTGTTTTAGTAAAAAAAAAAAAAAGAAAAGAAATACAAATATCAAACTTGAGTGTTACAATGAGTGGTAAGCATTAGATATCTTGATAAAAAAATATTTTAACATTTTAAGGAGGTTTCTTTCATAAAATCCAGATAAACATAGAATACCACAGAACTGAAAATAGCCAAAAAAAAATTATTTTTTTTTGAGTTTGTACAATCATCTAGATTGCTGAAACCTAAAAGATGATCCAGTTTCTTGACCAGAGCTCTTTCTCCTTCTGGCTATGAGCTCATCCTTTCTCAACACAAAGAAGAATCACAAAGCCGCATTGGCTGAAACTCTGCTTAAAGTTCATTGTGAAGACTACAAAGAAACTGGCAAACTCAATGGCAGCGTAGCCATTTAAATGTTTCCATTAAGGCTGCTCTATGTGTGACATGTGCTCCATTTTATTCTTGCCTTGAATAAAATGAGGCATCTTTGCTTATAAAATTAGGAAGATGAATATTTTTCTTCAGTTAGGCCACTTCCTAAATTAATTTCTTAATGATATAATGAAGATGTGACACAGTGCCCGAGAGGCATCATCATTCAAACATAAACTGAAATATTTATGGAATAGGTTATATACATAAATATAAAAAGAAATAAAACGACAGGAGCAAAGCATTTATAGCAGCAAACACAAATTAAAAATTAGGCAGAGTTTATATGGTTGAATGAAAAATGGGCCAACGTGAGGCTACTTGTAAAAAATAAAATACATCGGTAAACAGTTCTGTCTGAGATAAAGTTTATGCTTTTCAACAAATTAATATTTATATTTTAAATGTGAATCCTGTGTGAGTATGTCTGTTTTTTCTTTTCTGACGGAAAATCATTTTTTCTTGCCTACATTTGGTAATTGTTGACTCTACAGTTGTTAGATAAATAAAACAGCATTTTGAAGGGGACCACCGCTGACTGAAGAATGCGCCTTGTCACCACAAGTTTCCCCTGAGGGTGACAAGGAGGAGGAGAAGGCCGGAGATGAAGGGAGGGGACGAAGGAGGACCCAGCTGGAACTTCCCTCTCTTATCTGCCCTGGGGGGAAACAGGGGAGGAAATGTGGGGGGAAGAGGGGTGAAAAGTTGGATTACAGTGAGATGTTCAGCGTCTCAGCCACGGAGGAGGAGTGCGGGAGATGGGTGCTTTGCCCCGGTCGAGAGCGGGCCTCGTCCCGCTGCTGCTGATCCCGCCGGTTCTCCTCGCCCTGCAGCCCCCTCGTCGTGGCGCGTTTGTGGGCGGAGGAGAGGGACGGAGCTGTCGCTTTCACCGTTATCGGCCTAGAGCCGGAGAGGAGGTCAACGGGCAAGGCTCGGGGAGCCAGCACCGGGAGAGCGGGGACGGAGGAGGAGGAGGAGGTGAAGGATGGGGAGCGAGCGCACGAGGAGGAAAACGAGATGCACGAGCGCCAGGTTGGTACAAAAACAGGTTTATAGGTGAAGTTTATAGGTTAAGTTCGTGTGTGGTTATTACTCATATATTTCACAGAAAGGATGAGTTCATAAGGTTACACTTTAACTAAAAAAAAAAAAAAAAATTAAAAAAATGTTTTAATAAATGTATTTATTTTCCAGTGACGGTTTAATGTGCGACATGTCGCGTAATTAAATAACATAAAAGCTAAAGCGGACATGAACAACATAAAAATAAATTTATATTAAAGAGTTGAAACTGTTGGCTTAATAAGCCTGTTGTATTGTGGGCAAATTAATGTCCACCTGCAAATGTGGTATCCTGACATTCACTTCAGGAACCACAGTAATACACAAAATCTATAATAATATGAGTATATTTTTTGCTGCAAATGTTGTATACGAATAAAAGTACACATACATAAATAAAAACGATAAATAAGTTGTTGATGCAACCAAGTGACTCAGTAGTGCTTGAACACTATTGGGGACACAGGTTTCTTCATAACCAGAATCAGGATTTATTGTTGTTTATTGGTAACTGGTGCATTAAAGCAACACTCATGTTAAACAACAGAGACAGAAAATACGGATACACATAACTAGAAAAAAAAGGTGACATAACATAGCAACAACATAAATATAAATCACAAAGAAAATCTCATATATGCTTAACTTGGATTTCTATGTTAGTGAAAATAGTTTAGTGTCTAATTTAGTGAAAAGTTGCAGTATAAGTGTTTTAAATAATGAGCAGTTTTAGCAGAGCAATTCAGACCGGCGCAGCAGGTGGGCAGCACATAAACTAAAAACTAGCAAATCTGTCCCAGAGGACATTGGAGCGCTTAAACCCTCAAGAACATTTAGTGCTTTCTGGAGAAGGAGTTGGATTTCCAGGTGAGAAAATGATTAAAAGATGTGCCACAATTAGACGAGAAGACAGATTTAAACAGTGTTTAGAGCATTAAGCCTAAGGTGTGCAACTTGTGGCTCCAGGGCCCCTGAGGCCCCTTCAGTGGCTCTGTGACATTTGGCAAAACAAACTTTTGAAAGAAACTAATAGCAAAATAATAATAATAATAATAATAATAATGTTGCAACATTTTAGTAAGTAACTATGTAACTGTGTGTTTTAACACACCTGCACAGTATTCCTGCATTAGAATCGTGTTAATATTCAAGTATTTAAGGCGTTCATAGATTTTCTGTGGTTTGTTGAGTTCTTCATTTTCCACAAACATATCACATTCAATTAAGGGGTATAATTTCTTCTCCTTTTGCTAAAGTCTGTTGGTTTTCTTGATTTTGAAAAGTAAAAAAATATATAAACATACATTTCTTTAACGGGCTGCACAGTGGTGCAGTTGGTAGAGCTGTTGCCGTGCAGCAAGAAGGTTCTGGGTTTGATTCCCGGCCCCGGTCTTTCTGCATGGAGTTTGCATGTTCTCCCTGTGCATGCGTGGGTTTTCTCCGGGTACTCCGGTTTCCTCCCACAGTCCAAAAAACATGACTGTTAGGTTAATTGGTCTGTCTAAATTGCCCCTAGGTGTGTGTGTGCGCATGGTTGTGTGTCTGTGTTGCCCTGCGACAGCCTGGCGACCTATCCAGGATGTCCCCCGCCTCTCGCCCGGAACGTTAGCTGGAGATAGGCACCAGCACCACTCCCGGCCCCACTGAGGGACAAGGGTGTTCAGAAAATGGATGGATGGATGGACATTTCTTTAACCTTAAACAAAGCAACTGTATTTATTTACAAAAGTACTTGTAAAACCCTAAAAGCCATCTTTTTTTGTAAACCACCATAGGGTTTAGTGGCTATAGACAGATTTAATTTAGCAAGAACAAAGACAGAAATATAAGTCATGGATCTTAAACATTGCCGACCTTTGCACTAAACAGTGAAAAAACATGCCAAGAAAGACATTGCAAATTAATTGAGTGACAGAGTTATAAAGTAATACAACATCGGGATAAAGTACCATATGAGAGCCAAAATAAGCATGAAGACATTCAGATTACTCTTGAAAGTGTTTGCCACATGCTAAGGAAAACCAGTCACAGAGTGAGTGGGAGAAGAGTACTTAATCCAACCACGACCCCACCCACACCATCAAGTAAATGAAGGTAATTTAAACTGTGCAGTCTACGCCAAGGAATGCAAAATAAACCACAGCTGATGAGGCGTCCTCATCCAGCATGGCTTAGGTCAGCTTGTGTACAGCTCTGTGGATTATTACCTGCATGTCAGAACAGGTGGGGGGCAAGGGGCAAGCCCTGTCCTGACCCCTGATCAGAGCCGGATGACAGCTGGTCTGTCTTTTCTGTCTCTGCCCCGAGGATGGACAGATTGTGCCTCCATCCTCAGCCTCTGTCTGTGTTGCTGAGCACACATCCGTCCCTTACTTCTTTACCCCAACCCTTCCTTCTCCTCGCTCCTCTCTGGCTCCCCTCTGCTTTCCTTTTTTTTCTCACTCTCCCTCTCTTTATCTGCCCAAGGCTAAACTCTCTGACTCATTCTGGTGCACCCCTCCTGCTCTGCGGAGGTTGCCATGGCGTTAGGAGGAGAGAGGGGTATTTGTGTGCATGTGTGCATGTCTGTTTGTCTGTTGAGGAGCTTCAAGCAATCACCAATGGGCCTGGGGTCAGCGCCTGTGACCCGCCTCCTCGGCTCTTGCACCTTCTCTCACCGTCATCCCCGTGCATTATTCAGCTGCCTTCCTGATTCCCAAAAATCATCTATTATTTCCTTCGCCGCAGTATATCGATATGTAGTTTTTTTCATTTATTTATTTTTTTACATTTGCTCCCAGGTGGGACCCAGAGCGATGGAGATGCAGCGATGTGCAGTGAGCGAGCTGTCCTTCTCAGCAGAACTCGGTCGCATCATCATGTATATCACAAGGCTACAGGTAGGCACGACTGAAACACCTGAAACTCAACAAATGCAGCCATTTTAAGATTTCGTACCGACAGTGAACTGTCTGGGCCTGCAAAAAAAGTTATCTCGTCAAATTTTCCAGCGCATTCCTAAATTTATTATTTAATGTTTGTGCAAAACTATATTTAAAGTTTAATGTATTGAGCTGAATAATGCAAATTTTACAACTGTATTGCAGACATTTCTCTCGTTTTCTACAAATTCCTCAGCCATAACAAGACACTAATGAGAAAGAACTGTAAATGGAAAAACCCTACATTAACTTGCAATGCTTTGAAAAAGTACTAATGCCCCTTTGGCGTTTCACATTTTGTCACGTCACACCTTGAACTTAAGGGTATATTAATAGGATTTCATGTAAAAGAACAGCACAAGTCGAAAGAAGGCTGTAAATTGCTTTCCAAATGTTGCATGAGTATGTCTTAAAAGAGTGGCATTCATTTGTATTGTTGTCAAACTGAGTTAATATTTTGTAGAGCTATACGTTTGCTGCAGTTACGCAAGTAAGACTTATAGGGTACCACACCACGAGCTTTACAAATCTGGAGACTAAACGTTTTGCTCAATCTTCTTTGCATAATAGCTCAAACTTTGTCAGATTAGATGGAGCATGTCTGTGAACAACAGTTTTAATGTCCTGCCGCAAATTTAGGCCTGGATTTTGACTTTTCAAGGATTAAATTTAAGGGTACCAGAGTAAAGCAGGTTGAATACAAATGCACATCACAATTTTTAGATGTTTATTTTTAAAATAATAAAACAAATCATGTAACTATTTTTCGTTTCACAAATTTGCACTTATTTGTTAGTTTGTGCGGTAAAATCCGATGTAAACATATTAAAATTATAACACAACAAAATTGTGGAAAAGATAAAAGGGTGTGAATACTTTTGAAAGGCGCTGTCATCTGAAATGTTTAGGTAAATTGTAAAAACAAATTAGTGTTAGCCGCAAAAAACAAAAAACTCAACAAAGTTGAGAAAAAAAGTTAGGTTTTAAGAAAAAAAAAAGTTCTGTTTTCAATCACATCTTTGACAGCTCAGCATTGTAGCCCCCCCCCCTCTCCTCCCTTGCAATCAACTTGTCCACCTGAACCACCTGTTAGACTCACATATGCATCATTTCTTGGAGGTATCCTGGAACATTTGAGCATAGAAGAGGCTGAAAATTTATGTAGGAGATAGATCTTGCCAAAATTGAACAGTAATCAATAATGAAAGAAGAAAACCCTCCGCTTTCATGAGCTACATTGCACTTCTCTGACTGCAGACATGCGTAGGGGGTTGACATAGCAGTAATACGATCAGTCAGGTGCTGTCAATATGCTGGCAGCCAAATTCTGCCGATTCTGGAGCCAGAAAAAAGATGTTTCAGACTGGAAATTCCCAAAAAGAATTTTAGTTACACAACACCCAAGTGCTGGAAAACTGAGAACGGAAAGTTATTAAGAAACTTAAACCGGGATACAGTGCTGGCGTGTTTGTTTTTTTGGCACCCGTGACTTTTATTGACAGCTTCGAGACGGGGAACAGAGAAAAATGGGGAATGCTTGCAGCATCGAATCCAGGACGGCTGTGTGGAAAACTGTAGCCTCTGCATATAGCACACCCCGCTCTTACTGCTACACCTCATGTCGCTGCATGCGAGTGTTGTTTAAGCTTCTTAGTCGTCCAGCCCAAGTTTAAAGTCTCTAAAATTAAGAGAAGTTTTAAAAATGGAGAAAACTGCCGAATTTCACAAGGCTCCTCGTCAAGCCACTTCTTTTCTTTCACTTCCTCTCATTTTAATGCTAGCTTTGAGACAGTCGGTTCTCAGAGCTCCGTGCCGTGTGCTTTTTCTTCTCCTCCTCGCCTGTCCCCAGCTGAACTGCTCCAGGGTTTTACCCCCAGGGAAGGCCCAGACAGTGGCGCCCCCCGTGGCTTCAGCTCGCTCGCTGCTGTGTGCCAAGGACTGGCTGCTTCCAGCTGCAGATGGACTCTGCGTTGCTTACTCCTTCAGGTGTCTGGACCCCAAACTCAGGCATTCGTAACACTAACCACACTGAACAACGCGTTACATATTTAATCCCCGCATGCAGAAACCTTTCAAACCACTATCTGCGAGCCTCTGCCTCATTGTCTGCTTTTCCCTTTGTCTCGCCAGTATGGATGGAGGAGACGCAGACTTTCTGAGCACCGTCTCCAGACTCGGATGCAAAGCCCACAGTTTTGATCCCAGCACCTCCAGTGCATCTGTTGGTCACCTTGGCAACAGTTTGGCCAGTAACCATGGCAACAGGGGCGTCGTCAGCCAGCACAAATTGTGGCTGGAGTGGCGAGCTCCGAAGAGGCGCAGGCACGGGGCGAGCGGCAGCCCCGGGCGGGGCTGCTCACACGCTGGCCAACATCATGGCGGCGCTTGGGATTCACACCGTAAGAGAGACGCGAGCGCAAACAATAAAGACTTTGGCCAAACAAACACACCACAGAGTCTTTTTTACCCCAGCGTACCCGGAAAGGCACTTTTACTTGGCTGTTGCCATGGTAACAGGGCTCTGCGCCATCTCTGACTGCCATGGCAACGGTTTAAGTGAGTGAATCACACATGGGGGCCCCCAGTTACATCCGGCGGCCACCAGAGGGCGTTACATACCTGCAGTCTGAGTTGGACTTCTATGTCGGTAAAATACTAATACAGGCTGATGTCTGGAGGAGCTGAATCTCATCCCAGACGCTCACCACTCGATTGTGAGCCACTTCAGTGCATAACGAAGGTGACAGCATGAGGACACTAGTAGAACCACTTCATCTGTAATAAGTAACCATACTGCCAGATTCATGAGATCTTGTTCAACACCACAAACACTGGAAAATCTGTGACATCACACCAGTCTTTAACCTCGAGAGTAGTATTTCATTAAATTTTGTGAACTTACACTGAGCTATGTGGACATTTTTTATTTTATTTTGTGTAGCCATGTATGCAGTTATGTTCAATGAATTAGAATGTTAAAAGGTTTCTTTATTTCAGCCGATGCTGAAAAAGTCTTTAATAATGTTAGTGTGCATTAAAAAATGTTATGCTAATATTTTCCTCCCCCTTTCAGGTTCATTTTTTTTGTATGCTGACCTGTTAAGTGCTGAGTGGTGGCTTTTTCAGAACTGGATCGGGGCGGGGACTCTGCAGAACATTCATCATCTGGTCGCCACTGTGCACCTGCACTGGGCAGGCTTTGAGGTGGGGGGCAGCGACGAGGAGGTGCTCCGCTACTGGTTCAGTGTGCTGCGGGGCCTTGAGGCCGCTGGACTCCACCTGGTTGACAGTCCTTAAGCACACTGTGGAAAGCGCTCGCAGCTCCTACACCCTCAGCTGGGTCAACACACGACACTGACACTCAACAAATGCTGTTGTGGAGGGAAACAAACAAGACTGAGAATGTTTTGCCTGAAAAATGATGCAGTTCTGTGGAAAAAAAATTTGCCTTTCTTTTACCACAAATTTCTTCATCCAACACCGCCCTCTAGTGGGCGTTAATGGATTTACATTTTACAACTTGAGAGGGAAAGAGACGTGTTCATTATACAATGCTGACAACAATTACTCTCTGTGGCGGGAAAAGGAACAGTGGCTGATGTTCTTTGTTCAGGTCAAAATAATGTGATTCAAAGAATATATTTTCTGCAAAGCTGGCAATAAAATACAGAACAGAAATGCCTTTTTTGCTTGGCATCCTGAGATGACTTTTGTTTTGAGTTTGAGCTGTTTACATAAACTGAAACGACTGCCCCCTATTTAAATGCACAGTTAATAATTATCTGGAAAAAAGCTAATTTGATTAAACAAATAATCACAACCTCTTTACATATATTTTAACCAACGGTATCCCAAAGAAAATATTTAATAAAGCTTGTTTATTTTTCTGTACATCTGTGTAAAACATCAATCCCCTTTTAAAAGTGTGCATATTTAAATTTATTAGATAAAACTGTGCTTCCTTCAGTAACGCGTTCAGTGCCTTGCAGAGCTCTTTTAATGTTTCCTTTTTTTTCTCTCCCTCTTTACAATCGCATAATTCAATATAATTCACCAGAAATGTATGTGGTAGCCAGCACAAGAAATGATCAAATCCGTAAGCAAAAGTAATCTTTTCTTTTTAAATAAATACTAATCTATAAAGAGGCATATTCGTATTCAAAGAAACTGTTCAGGTTCCCTTTCCCTGCTGAAGAAAAGCATCAGTGTAGCATAATACTGCCACCACCATGATTCACGGTGATGATGGTGAGTTCAGGGGATGTTCTAATTGTTTAACAAACCTCTCAGACCTTTTACAGGAAAGCTGTACTGAGACTAAAATACACGCAGGTGGGCTATTAATCAGCTGAATTCTGGCAGCACTTGCTTGCACCGCATTTTACTTAGAGCTGTCAGAGTAAAATGAGTGAATAAAAACTAACAGTATTCAGGTTTTTATTAGCAAGACAAAGCTATAGCTATCCTAACTGTACACTCTACCACAGTATAAGATTTTAAGGCGTTTCATTCTTAATTTAATTTTCAGATACGTTTTTTCCCGTCAAAGGCTCAGCACTTCCCGTTTGAAATACCGCCGCTGAGAGGAAGGATGCACTTTACCACCATGAACTTTTAAGTGTTTCCCTATGCAGAAAGCTCCAGTGCCAGTCATTCCTCGGACGCGTTCCAGCTCGCTGGGAGCGCACTCTGGAATGCGGGGTTGCCTCCGCCCTCCCCTTACGAAAATTACGGACAGATGTTTGCCACTAGCTTGGGTGGAGTTGCGCTCTTTACGTTGAAATTTCCACATCCTGTTCTTCAACCCAAAGCGCAAGACATCCTCTGTAGCCAATCACCTTCGAGAAATCCTGTCCGTCAACCAATCAGAAGTTACCAATTCCGGGACTTGCGCGAGCTGCTCAGGCTCGACTCGCTGTGCTGTAACTCTCAACATTTTTTGAGAAAATCTTCCGACCTAACAACCAACAGATAAAATAGAGTGAACCTACAGGCGCAAGTTTTAACGGTAAGGGAGTAAAATTGATTCAGTGTTGTTTATATATGGTGACGGGTAAAAAAAACACCCTTGTTTGAGGGTTTCTTCGAGATAAGAGGCGCTTACAAGTTTACTTCCTGCTCCGACAAGGCCGAGATCCCAACTTACATTTAGCCTGTTTTAGCTAATGTTTGGGTGAAAGCGTTCGCTGTTTTTACCGATTTGATTAATAAAAGTGTAGTATTCGACCGTTCTGTAGCTATCTTGACGTTAAGCAATTAAGCAAAATCCAGTTATTCAAATCCACAGGCTGGCTCACTGTCACTGCCGAGCACAGGGCAGCCCCCCGGGCTTTTCGTGTTTTTCAAGTTTTTCCATCAGTGTCAGTGCTTCATTTTGGGGTTTTGGAGCATAGCAACACGTTTACCGAGTGGGGGAAAAAGTGCAACACAAACAGCTCTCTTTGTGATTCTTACTCTATGAATCATCTCTTCAGCTGAGTACATCATTTTAACTGGACAGACTTGTAATTAGGCAGCCAAAATGGGCCCAACAGGGAGGCACTGAAGTCACTGAGCTGTCAACCATATTCTCCTATGTTACTGCGTGCAGCTGATATTAGGTACACAGGTCAGCTCCATATCACTTAATATATTTACACAGCTGCAAACATAATGGTAGGGAACTAGCTAACCTCAGCAGTCTCTTCTCTATTTTAACCTTTCAGTTTGGTTCGCTCAGCTGCTGCATAGTAGATGCTGATCTGAGCTAAGCAGCAGTTTTGCTTCTGCTTTAGTTCTGTCTGGTTCTGTGTTATTTATATGTGTGTGTGCAGAGCTTGCTTAGACATGAGCCTCTTAACTTATTTAGACGTGCAAAAACGCTTTAGTAGGCGACAAGAAATGTATTTAGTCTTCAGATCATTAAAAAGTCAAAAATATGGACTGGAAATTCTTGAGTGTGGCGATTTTTGAGTGTAAGCTAAAGAAACAGACGGACTGCTTGTAATAAAATTGGCAGTTAACATGCCTTTTTAAAAGCTTCAATTATTCATAGCTTAGCATTAAGCATTTGGTCAAACATGAAATATTGATTTGCTGATGGTCATATACAAGACTTTTGGCAAATTAGTGTTTGATTTGAAAATTTGTGAAATGGCAGCCAATGTAAAATGCACATACTATGTCCTTTTAAGGCCCCATTGCCAAAGAAAAACGTTCTTACATTTTGCCCTTCTTTCTTCTTCTTCTTTTTCAGTTCCTCATTTAAATGTTATAGAGATATTTAAATAAATTGAATTTCAGTTATATTACAGATACAATAAAGGTGTAAAATCTATAAATGTACATTGACTTGTGAAAATATTCGGAACCCTTGAGCTTTTGCACATTTTGTCAAATCATACCCAGAAAGGGCGATGTGGTCATTTGAAACCTCAGAGGCTGCCATTCAAACGCTGCGTGTCATGCACTTCATCGCCAAAAAACACCCACCCCGCAGTGGAACACGGTAGTGCCAGCATCATGCTGTGGTGTTGCTTTTCTTCAACCTGGACAGGAAGGCTTGTCAGTTCTTTAGGAAGACAGAAAAAAAAGTCTTAGAAGAAAACTTGTCATAGTATAGTTTACTAATTATGAAGTTATACTGCAAATTATGACTTCACAATTAATGTTTACGACATAAAATCCCAATAAAATATGTTTGTGGTTGTAGAGCAAATGTGAAAAAGTTTGATAGATATGAGTACCTTTAGAACTGTGTTACCAGTAGCTATACATATCGATAAGGAGGTAATTCTGAGTTTGGACAACATCTTACCCAGCGCCAGTAATTGATCCTCTCACTTCCTTTGTGTCAGGGTTGGGCCACCCTGCCTGCCGCCTCCCATCATGCCTTTGGTGACGAGGAATATAGAGCCGCGGCACGTGAGCCGTCAGACCATCCCTTCAAACATCCGCAGCGAACTGGAATGTGTGACCAACATCAGCCTGGCCAACATCATCCGTCAGCTCGGCAGCCTCAGTGAGTACCAGCCAGGTTTAGTTTATTGTCGGTCATATCTGTCGGTTGAGTGTACTCATATAGCTTGTATAACATTTAACAAGGGTAAAGGAAGTTGTGGTGTTTTTTATTTTATTTTTTTATTTAGGTAAATATGCAGAGGACGTGTTTGGGGAGCTTTTTATCCAGGCTGGAGCCTTTGCTACCAGAGTCAACACGCTGGGGGAAAGAGTTGATCGCCTACAGGTTAAAGTCACCCAGCTGGACCCCAAAGAAGAAGAGGGTAAGTTCTTCCTCCTGGACGTTCCTCCTGAAACTGTCTCCACGTTCCCTCTTTCTTGAGCAAGATGATCCAAGTTGTTTATGCAACTTCTCGTTTGTTTCTCCTAGTCTCTCTGCAGGCCATCACTACCAGGAAAGCCTTCCGCAGCAGCCTGACCCAGGATCAGCAGCTGTTCACCAGGCCGTCTCTGCCTGTCCCTGTACAGGACACTTACACCACCTGTAACCCTCCACCACCACTCAACCAGCTCAGCCAGTACAGGTAGGATGGAGCAGGCAGGAGCAGCACATGCAGATGTGAAGAACGGCTCCCAAACATGTATCAAAACTTAAATTATGGGCATATTTTAGCAGCTAAGACTTATAGTTTTCAGTGTTTCTGGGGCATGAATTGCACTAATTTTTGATGGTTTAATTTTATGAAATTCAACTACCCCACAAAGCAAAATAAAACTTGTGTAACAAGAAGTCAGCAATGCAAGGAATGTGTCAACTCAGATTAGGCATCATTAGTTTAGTTTAATCATGCAGAAAGATATGTGAAGACATCTTATAACAGAAGTTAAATGCCTTATATATACTTCTGCTCTTTAAGCAGATTATAATCTCACAGCTCACAACAAAGTGTGACTGTTGCTCATAGTACCTATAAATACTGTTTGCAGGGAGGATGGTAAAGAGGCTCTGAAGTTTTACACGGATCCGTCCTACTTCTTCGACCTGTGGAAGGAGAAGATGTTGCAGGACACCAAGGACATCATGAAGGAGAAGCGCAAGCACAGAGTGAGACACGCCAACATAAGATCATGAATCCCAAAGCCAGAGTAATGCATTACAACATCCACCATTTTATTTAACTCTGTGTTTTCTGAGCAGAGGGAGAAGAAAGACAACGTGAACCCAAGGACGCTTCATCCTCGAAAGATCAAGACCAGGAAGGACGAATGGGAGCGGCTGAAGATGGGACAGGAGTTTGTCGTACCAAAGAATGAAAAGTGAGTAAACTGAAACTGAAGTAAGCTGGGCAGCTTTCTGAAGGTTGTACTGTGTGTTCAGGAACCCGACAGGCAGGAGCGTAATGGGCTGTTTCAGTCATGAACTTTCAGCTGATGATGAATTTCATTTCCTTTTTCAGGGAGTTTGATGCCGTTTTTTGGAACTGGGTGCACATTGAATTGCTATAAATAGAAAGAGGAGTAATTGGAACAAATGATTTAAGTTTCTGTTTGCTTTTTAGGCTTTTTTTAATAGAAACTGCAACAAGCAGACACGGCACGCATAACAACTTTAAACCTTTCATCTTAATCCCGATTTATTACATTTTTGTTGATCATTTGGATTACAGCAGCTGTATGCAGTATTTGTAGTAGACCATAGATTTGACTGATTTAAAAAAAAATACAATTTCTGTGTTCAGTACTTTTGGCTCATACTTTTTTTGGTGGTTACCTAAAGTGGACAGGCTAGGTTGCCATGGATTCCAGCTGGTCTCCAATTGATTTTTGTCAGCTTTTCAAAGAAAAAAAAGTGAAACCAATTTTTTTTAAGATGACATTCGTGTGTTTTTTTTTTTTTTTTTTTTAATGGTTGTTATGCATTTAAAGAGCTTAAAAGCATCGTATTTTCTCTAGCCTGTTTTATTATTGGAAGAAGCAACTAAAGCCTTTATCACCGAACAGAGAATAAATGGCAATGGGCTCTAGTTATTTTACTCCTTCACCAACAGCTGTTGCAGTTTTGGTCATTTGTTTTGAACTTTTGGACTAAAGAATGTTGTAAAGGTTCTCCCACCTGCTATCATAAGTGCAGTGACATGTTGACAGCAGGGTCATGCTGTGGGGATGCCTCAGCAGGGACAGGGAAGCTGTTCAGGTTTGACAAGAAGCTAGATGGAGCTAAATAGAGGGGGAATCCTGGAAGAAACACAGTTACAGACTGAAAAAGAGGCGAGACTGACTGAGGTACACCAGACGCAAGATAAAAAGAACTGCTCAGATGTGCAAAAGAATTCCCTAAAGTTGACGGCGTTCAAAATTAAACAAGACATATCGATCCAGATGTGTCACTAGATCAATGCATGCAGAAGTGAGTTTTAGTAATGAACCACTAGAGGTGTTTATTTCCATGCAGATTTTGCAACGTTTAAGTTTTTTCAGATGCCGAGGGCAGGGATACAGCAATGTAACCATCACTTATGAAAGGTAAAGATTTAAGGAGTCAAAATATTGACTTTCTGAATCTGTTGCCTCAGATTTGGCTTTCAAAGCAAAAACCCACATTAGCCGCTCATGTGATTCATCCCCCTTTCCCCTGCTTATCAGCGGATCTGTACACACTGATGAGGCGGTATGTGCCGTCTGGGAATGTTCTCAAGGGGAAGGGTGTAGAGCTGATGGCCACAAAAAACTCTCCAGTAAACAACAAAAAATGTGTCTCCACCATTTTGTTTTCACTTTTGATTGTCTTTTCTGTCGGATGTAAAAATGATTGTATTAGACTGTAAAATAAACTGTACCGCTAAGTAAGAATGGGAATGCAGTTCTAATGACAACAGGTATAAAAAAAAAACCTTTTGAAGAACAATATTTGTATTTCTGCGCAGCAATCTGTAGTTATAGACAACAGGAGGAAAATGAAGGAAATCATCAATACTCTCCAGTTGCTTTTCTGACTATTTTCAGTGTTTTATCATCAGGCTTTTGTAAAACACTGCAGGCCTTTTATTTTTTACTTTTATTTGTTTTCATTTTTGTTTACGCCTTTTCAAACAATGAATATTATAGGATATGCTCTTCATTGAATTTTCTACTATTTTATTTTTCAGTATTTTCCGTCACCAATTTTCCTCCTGGGTTTTGTCCATTTATTTAATTTTTCTTTTCTTTGTGTTTTCTGCAGTCTTACTGTATGTGTCAGTTTTTTTCCTATTGCTTGATTTGATGTTGATAGTGATTGTATCACATGACATTTTGTTGTCGTTGCCGTCTTTCAGAATTTCAACCAGATATTTAGCTTTCTATTATATAACATAGACATTGAAAAGCAAATTATATTGTAGTATTTTGAACAGTTTATTGTTTGTGTCTTGCCAAAAACATCTCATCACCGGATCTTTCCAGAATACGTGACAATGGCGAGCATTATTCATCATGCCATGTCAAAAAAAGATCTGACTGAAGTGTTTCCTATTAATTTGGAAAAAATAAAAATACAAAAATTACATAAAGTTTCCATACTTCCAGGTTAGACTTTGTGTTCCTTAAATGTTCAGGGGATTATTTTTACCTGTTCCTTTAAATTCACCTCTAATTAGCAGAAGCTGCTAATTTGTTCTGTTTCTCTGATCTTTTCCTCCACTCGGTCGGTGCAGCTGCTGTGCTCGATTTGACGTTATTTTGTTTGCGTTCAGAAATCCCTCAGACGTACTGAATGACAGCTTCGAATCCAGGGTGGACATCAACTCAGACGACCTTGAGCTAAGCACGGACTCTTACCACTTTGAGCCTGGCTCGCCTCCGCCTCCGCCTGGCCCTGATGACATCCTGCCTCCTCCACCCCCATACACGGCGTACGTACTTGTAGCATCATGCACTCTGCCCACACATGTTGCCAGCACATGGTCGCCCTTGGCAGCATGCGGTGAAAGCGAAGTCACGCTCGCCGTGGCCTTGCGCTCGTCTCTTTGTTAACTTGAACACGAGCAGCCGTGGTTGAACACAGATATAAAATGTTAATGGAGGGAAGTGAAGTCTCCATTAAGGCCTGTTAATGTCTCAGTGTCTCTAAAAGTGACTTCTTCTCTGCAGGTTTAATGATGGATCAGCAGCTCAGCATAGAGTCAGCATGCTGAGTCCAACCCATCCTCCTCCTGCGCCTCCTTCTATGTCTCCCCCTCTGAACTCCCGCCCAAACCTTTCCCCGCCCCCTGCACCTCCTCCCCCGCCCCCGCCCTCTGGTTTTGCTCCACCTCCTCCTCCAACTGGCTTCGATGGCACTCCCTCCCCACCTCCACCCTCCTTTCCATCTCCACCCGCTCCTCCTCCACCGCCCGATATGGCCATGGCTCCTCCCCCACCTCCAATCACCACAGGTGGAGGACCGCCACCCCCGCCGCCGCCTCCTCCACCTCCGGGGCCTCCTCCTCCACCCTCTGACTACAGTGCTCCTCCTCCTCCACCTATCTCGGGCGGTGGTTTGGCCCCCAGCTCTGCTCCCAAACCTCAGCCAGCTCCTGTCAGCGACGGTCGCAGTGACCTGCTGCAGGCCATCCGACAAGGTAAGACGTAGCAGAAACACGTCAACGGAAACACTAGTCTACTTCCAACAGGAAAGCACGGAAAGCAGCGAGCAATAATTTTTATTAAGTTAGTAATTTTAATGATTTGGTATAACTGGCGTTAAGTGAACAAAAAGGCTGACATTTAACTCAAACTCTTTATTTCTAAAGAGCAGCAGTTGGTGGTGGAGTGAAGTTCCTCCCCCACCTTCTTCTAACTAAAAGAAGTTGGTGTCAAACGTTTGTGCAGGAACACGTTTTGTTTGTGCTGCTGTCATTTTAAAAATATTAATAAATGTTTTGAGCGGTCATCAAAGGTCAACCAAACATTTACAAAATCAAACAAATTAGGGTCAAGCAACTGGGCTCTGAGTTTTTTTTTTTTTTTTTTTTTATCTTCAAAAAAAAAAATTTATTTTTTGCAATTTTGTTGTTTTTATCTGGG